GATTTTTGACCAATTAGGAAACTGAGCTTTAACGAAATCAAAATTCAATTAAGTGTTTGTGTCAAAGTCTTTTAGATGACCACATTATAACTGGTTAAACAAACAACCTATTATCTTAAGTGAGCCTTATATATTTAGTGCCCTATTTGTGACTAAATGTAGGCTGTGTGTCTTAAATTTATCCAAATGTACAAATGTCTACAAAGTTAAAAAGGTACAAGTTTAATATATATAAATAATAAGCAAATGCCCTCTTTTATCCAAAATACATTCCTCCAAATTAAAATTGTTAATGATGCTAGCCTTGTATAGGCTTGTGTTCATGTGTTTCTAATTGTAACAAGGAGAGCTTAATGATGCTGGTATAATGATGGCAGTCATAATTATTATCCTAAAATGCAGTATGCAATGAAAATAACTAACTTCTGTCTATTGCTAAGCTGTTTTGTAAAATTTTAACCTGGTCTATTCTATTTTATCATTACGGTTTTGATCCTTTTGGAACATTTATAATCAAGCCATAGAAAATGACTCTAGCAAGTATTTATCTGTCAAATAAGTTAGCTTTTAAATACTTGCTTCTTTTGGGTTTTCTTTTGTATTTTTCTTATAAAACTTTGTAACTGCAGAACTAAAACTTTTAACAATAACAACTTGAGCAGGATTTCTTTTGAGATACTAGATGTCACCTATAAAAGTGACAAAACTAAATTTAATGGACTCCAGGTAAGCCCAGCCTAAGAGCCAGTTCTTCCTAACTTTTTTGTTGCTTAAATTAAGCAAATAAAAAAAAAAAATCTATTGGCACTGACTCCCTCCTGACCTGTCACTTCCCCTCTGATGTGAGATCAGATCAGACCAACCAGGATATCTCATCTGAGCAACAAGGAAAGACTTACCAGAACAAAGCTTATCCTAGCAACAAGGGACCATTCAGAGACAAACAGGGCAGAAAAAACTGTTGAGTCAAAAGGGGAAGTTCTCAGATTCCAAATGGAGTCACTTGTGCCGACCCTTCTAAAAGTAACTAAAGCCAAGAGATTCTAAAGAAATGGTTCACATGCAATACTAAATCCCATGCCTGTCTACCTTCCAAATGGACAAAAACTAGCCTTTCTATTACCAGCTACCACTATGACTTAAAAATCCAGATGCCCCTCCCTATCTATGGACATTCACAGTCCCTTAAAAACAAGAGGGCTATCCAACTCTTCCTCTGTTAATAGGCCTCAAAAATATATCAGACATAAGGACTGGAGTACAGGAATTATTTCCTCCTCTATAATCTACAAAGTCTTGTCACTACAGGTGGTTAATGCTCTAAACACCATAGCCCATAGCCCAAACCCTCAACAATTTAAAGGGACAAATTAACACTCTAACAGCCCTGGTCCTACAGAACAGGAGGGCTTTAAATATGCTCGCTACTGCCCAAAGGGAAGCCTGTGCTAAATTTCAGAAAGTCTGCCGCCTTTGAGCTAATAGATCAGGACAGGTTCATACTAAATTAACCCACCCATAAATTAACCCATAAAGCCTCTCAATTTAGAGAACAAGAGGATGGCTCTCGTGGGAAAATACTTGGTCATTGTTATCCTGGTTTCTCCCCTTCTCGGGACCTCTACTATTTATTTTACTCCTTTCTACTTTTGGACCTTTCTTTATTAATATTCTAACCAGATTTGTTTCTTCTCACCTCCAAGCCATAAAGTTACAAATGATGCTATAATATAGGTTCCATTCCCTATTGCCTGGCCCTCCAGTGCCCTGTAGTGCTCTGGATCTGTCCTCTGTGCAATTTTATTCCAGTATTCGATTAGACCTTGCCATGTCCCAAAGACTGCTCCATAACTCTCTGTCAGAATAACAAATACATAGGCAGGAACATCTTTACAACCCTACCCAGATCAAAGCAATTATAAGAAGATGAAACTTTTGCCCCACTAAAATCAGGATTGGTTTTGTTGTTCAGTAAGCGAGGAATGTGGAAGACCCCCCCTTCCCCTCTTTTAAGGAACTATGACAGAAAAATACCAAGGGCCAGGTAGAATGTAGAAATGAGTCAAGCCCACAAAGTAGGCTAGATGGAATCCAGAAGCAAGGGTCATGAGATGTTCCCACATGCACAAAATTCTTACTGCGATCCAAGGAAGAAATAACCAATCAACAAGGTCCAAAAGAAAGGAAGAACCAATCAGTGAAACCCAAAGTAAACTCTATAAAAGCCTGTCCCCACCCCATGTCAGCACAGCAGTAGTGACATTTCCCTTATTGGTAGGCTACCCTCCCTATTTTCTTTAATGGTACCTTAATATATCTTTGCTTTTCCTAGTCTCCCATCTTGGCAAATTCTTTTACCAATCCATGACTCTGAAATCCATTACAGAAAACACTGTCACAATTCCAACATTTAAACACACATACAATTCTACTCCTGAAAAAAACTATAGGTCATACAAGTCTACATGGATATCTACTGTAGCATTGCTTTTAATGGCAAAAACCAGATTGACCTCAATATGAATAGGGACTGGCTGAGTAAATGATGGCAAATCCATGCAAGAAACACCAGATAGACCCCAAAAGCAATAAGGTAAATCTAAGCATATTGAAATGGAAATGTGTCAAAATATACCAAGTGGAAAAAAGGAAGTACAGAATATTATGTAACGTGCAATCCAATCTGTGGAGGAAATGAATAGATATATAAATATATCTTTGCATTTCAAAACTCTTGAAGAAAATATAAGCAACTTTAACCATTTTATAATTTTTAAAAATAGAAGCACTAAGAACAGGGATATTTCAAGTCATTTCATGTGTAATTATCATTACATCTTCATGTTTTGTTTTGTTTTTTTATTTCCTATCTTGGTAAGAGTCCCTCTAGACTTCATTTCTCTGGCAATAAGAGAGCGGGAAACACACATAGGGCCACTTTGGAAGAGTGCTTTACAGTTCATGATGTCTCCTCAACTATTTTTTCAAAAGCAGACACAAACAAGGCAGAGATGCAGAAGTTCCTGCAGGGAGAGCTGTAAGGTTCAGCTGCAAACATCCCTTGAAGGGTTTCACATTTGCATGGGACCCTGGTGTGTGGGAGTTGGGTAAACTTTTATTTCCCTTGTGTTGCTACTGCTTTGAGCAGGATCAGGGGAGAAGAGGCAAAACTGGCAAAACTCCTAATTGGCTTGCCCAATCCTGTGATTCTGTAATACAACAATTTGCTCCTCTCCTTAAAGGACAAACAAGGCCATGTGTTCCCGTCACAGCAGCCAGCCCAGGCTATTCTGGGTAGAAGTAGCCTTTATGACCTCTTTTGGTGTTACCAGGCAAGGAGGGGAATATGCTGGGCACATGAGAAGCCAGAGATAGCACAGTGCTCAGTCCTAGCGGGATGCTAAGTATGAACAGCCACTGCAGGAATCTCTAACCCACCTCCAGAACCAGGGACAACTGCCAGTTCTTCACCCACCTAATCTCTAACATCCAAATGCATTCAAGTCACATCAGAATAAAAAGGTGAGAACACATTGCACTTCCAAAAGTTACCACTTTCTACTAAAATGTTTCTTGAGGAATAAAATAGCAATTAAATTACCAAAAAGAAAGAAACCTAGATAAAGAATAGATGGGTACCACAGGCTCTAGCTCCTGCTGTCTACTCCGGTGCTTTTCTTCAGAGCCAGATCCTGGGGGCTAAGTACAATTCTTTTCAATTATTGTAAGATGCAAAGCAATATGTAGTGTATATTGAAAAGTCTCTACCCAGACCTAACTGATGAACCCAGAAGTCAGAAAATTCAGGTTGTATTATTTGGAAAATGATTTTATATAATATTGCATAGGATACTCAACTGCTGCTTTTGAAAGATGGAGGAAAAAAACCCACAATCCTCTTTGCTATTTTAACTTAAAGAGTTCTCACCTTCCTAATTTTCTATGGTACCCATACCAATAGCTCTGGATTTAGAGTCCTTAGTAATAGTTTCAAGTCTTATCACAAAAACCACCCTAACTATGGCAGATCTGTGGCTGTCTGATCAATATGCACAATTTACAAGGCTTCAACCAGAAGAAAAATTAATTCAGGGCCCTCTAGTTCAGAATTAGTGATAATGCAAAACACTCTTCAAATTTCAGTTTAAACTCAAAAAGCATCTAACTGTGGCTTGTTAAGCAACTGCAAAGATCAGAGATGGACTATTTAAGATATTTAAGATAATCTACTTTCCTGGTCTTCAATAGCATTGCCTTGCATGTAATTTGTGTTGTTAAGGTAATAATTAGAAATGGGTCTTATCTGTGGTACCAAGCAGGTCTATCAAGACTAGTTATAATTAGAAACTAATAATAAAGTATACTGCTAAACACCTGTGCTGCATTTCAAATAGCCCTTTGCTAGCCAGGCATGGTGCTGGACCCCTGTAGTCCCAGCAACCTGGGAGGCTGGGAGTTTGAAACAAGTCTGCACAACTAGCCAGACCTTCCATCTCAAAAAATATTGTTATTTTTTACTGTCCAATATCATCTCCACACAGCAAAATGTCAAAAGGTACTGTAATGGTTAATCTTGATTATCAACTTAATTGGATTGCGAAACACAAAGGAGATTAGTAAAGCACACCTCTGGCCCTGTCTGTGAGATGTTTCCAGACACACTAAATCATGAGCGCTCTGATCTAATGAACGGTTTAATCCATCAATGGATGGATTCCAAATTTGAATAATTTGAATAACTATCAGGAGGCGCTGGAACTGTGGAAGGTGGGGCACAGTAGGGAGAAGTGGGTCACTGGAGAGCATGCCCTCAGGAGCTCTACCTTGCACTGTCCCCCTCCTGTTACAGCTCCACTCTGCTTCCCATCCACTATGATGTGAGATGTTCTACCACACCATTCCTGCCATGATGAACTGAAACCATGAACAAAACAAATCTTTCCTTCCTTAAGCTGTTTAAGGCAGGTATTTTGTCAACAGTAACTAATACAGATACTTACCTCTGAGTCTTTGGCCTGCTGATTACGAATGACTATCAAATTGTACAGGATTCTGTCATCGTCTGCCTCTGTATGGGACACATCATGGGGCAGACTCCATAAATTCTTTTCATCATCCCTTGCCAGCATTGCTCCAAATGAGGAATATGGATTGTCACCACTGTGATATAAGAAGAGAGAGAGGATAAGGATCTTGTTTTACATATATAAAATATGTTATATGTCATATACATAATATACAATATAAATAAAATGTATAATATATAAATATGTATATTTATAATTAAAAGATCTAAATTGTCTTTAATAATTAGTACAACACAATGCAATAAAAACAAACAAAAAATAGATCTTCTCTAAAATAGCAAAAAACAGATGTAGCCAGATATGTGTACAGAAGTAATTACTATAGTTAAACATGAAGTTTGCACCGAGTACTCCAGCAAAGACCAAAAAAGAAAATCCAAGGGAAATGGAAGTCTTGTGCAATTAAAAGAAAATAGTTAACATGAAGAGGTGAGCTTTTTACTGGCTCTGAGTTCAAAAACACACAGTAAAATTGGAGTACAATAATATATAGTATCTGTCAAAATTTTTACACTAAGAAAATTAAGCAATAAATGTGTCTATCCAAATATCCAATTAAGGCCTTAAGCAATGCAGGAGACAGACTAAGAATTTCAGCAGCCCCATTTTGTACATTTGTTTCATGACTTCTTTGTAAGGTGGTACCACTTTGTGCTTACAGAAAAGATGAGAGATAGAGCATCACATGTAGGACATGCCTGTACACAGCCCAGCTACCTTCTGTGGGACAGGATAATAGGGTCATGCTAGGACTACTCACTTCATCTAATAACATGTGTGCAGCACTGACTACACATTAATCATTGGACTCAATAAAACTGTGAGCAAAACAGACACGGTTCCTGTCCCTAGACTTCACTAGAGTAAAGTATGGGAAATACATTAATGAATAATCACATGACTACATAATTAAATAGTGTGATAAATGCAACAAAGGGGTTATTCAGAGTGTAATGAGAGGACAGGCAAAATGCTAACAGAAGATCCAAGTGATGTGGATAAAGGCAGGCATCATGAAGAAGGGATGCTTCAGCTGTAAGGTGACAGGTATGAATAGAAAGAAAGCAGCATGTTCAAAGGCCTGGGGTGGGAGGAAATAGGGTGGCTGTTAGAAGAAAGGGGGCGTTGGTCAGAGAAAGAAAGGCAAGCTGAGGAGTCAGCTTGGGACTGATACAGGAGTTCATAGGTCATGTTTCTAACATTCTTCTAGTGTGGTCTTTATTCTTAGAAGCAAGGCAAGACCTGGAAGACTTTTAAGCATGATTGTGATGTGACATAAATAGAATTACATCTTTAAAAGAGCTTTCCAGGTAGAGTGTGTAGGATGTTGGAAAAATGTCAGGAAAGATTTGGAAGACTCATTAAGATGCAATTAAGGGGCTGGAGGCATGGCTAATATGGTACAGTACCTGTCTAGCAAGCATGAAGCCCTGTGTTCAAACTGCAGTATTGTCAAAAAATAAATTAAAAGATGATGTAATTAAGGACTGGAGGAGTAGCTCAATGGCAGAGTGCATGCTTAGCATGTGCGAGGCCCTGGGTTTAATCCCCAAACCACAATTAATAAACATTTGTTTGAGGTAACTCAGGGACAGGTAGTAAGATTCAAATGACAGTATGAGCTAAAACTATGAAAGATAGAATTAAGAGAATTTGAGGATGAACTCAGTGGAAGGGGGCTGCAATAGAGGGTGAGAGGAGTCAAAGATTCTCTCCAAGCTCCCTCTCTAGAGACCTCCAAGCTCTCTGGCTATTCACCTGGATGGCAAGTGATGCCATTCTCTGAGGCAGAGCTATAATGCCCCATGGCATGGGCTGGCAAACACACCTGCAGGTATGTCATGAAGGAACAGCAAATAAAGACATACAGAAGACATCCAGATAAGCAGATGGCACCTAGGAAGGAGGGATGAGAGTAACTGACAGTAGACTGAAAGTAAATGTCAAGATAGCCATAAACATGACATAACTCACAAGTAGGTACTAAGGAAATCTCACAACAGGAAGCAAGTACCACGCACAGATTGGGGTTTAGCAGTAGGAAGTGCCCAGCAAGGAAGCAGCCCCAGGATTAGAGTGATGGGGTTCAGATTAGGCTGCCAATTAAGGCCTTAAACTTGGGAAAGACAACGAGGGCACACGTAGGGGCAAAAGGTGGTGACGGGATGTTGGAGCCAAGGTGGCCAATCACCTGAACCAGAACAGAGCCTGGAGATGGTGCTGAGAGGTGCTCCTGAAACCCCTCTGGCCAGATGCCAGCAGCTTAGGGTCTGGGACTGGACAGAGTAATCCGTGCTATGGAGAAAGGGACAACTTAAAAGGAGTCAGACACAGCTCAACCACACTGTTCTCAGAACTGCCCTGTTCTTCCTCAGGCTGACAGATCCCATAAAGGCTGAAATCCAGAGGGCCCCATGGCCTGGCTCTCCTCAAGAATAGTAAGCCAATGAAAGGAGAGGTAAATGATGCCTTGGTACTCTGTATCATAAGGGTACATATGAGCATGTCGAATTCACTCACTCATTCAGTCATTTACTTATTTATTTATTAAAATACATGTAATGGATACCTGTTATATACTGGTTGCTTTGGACTTGAAAATAAATAGAACATTGTCTTTTCCCTAACATAACTGTAATGAGTAAGTGCAATTTTTTTTAATGTAGGAGCAGAGAGGAAGAAATGATAAATGGCATGAAATGAAAAGGAAGTTCCAAAACGTTTTATGGAGGCATCTAGCCACACCTGAGGAATGTGTCCTTCACTGGAGGAGGAGGGAGGGCAAAGGTATTCCTAACAGAGAAATGGCTGGAGAAGGAGCTGTGCAAGGAGGCTGCAGGTCTCCACGGGTTGGGGAATTTCAAGCACTCATGCGCACCCACTGAGGTGACACACAGAGCAAGGGAAACGGAGGGACATGAAGATGAAAAGGTAATTTGAGGTTAGAGTAAAGATAGTGCTAGTTCAGTCTTTGTTCTGTGAACTGTGATAAGTTACCAAAGGAACTTTGAGACTTGTCAGGACTGGATTGCAGAGAACTCCAGATGAAGAAGGAATAAGGAGATGGCTTAGGAGACAAACAACTATCACATGAGCCTGGATGTGTTTTTCAGGCCACGCTCTGTGGTCTTAGTGTCAGAGAGCCTCAGGATTGCTGTGAGGTAAGGTACAGGAAGAGACAGACAAAAAGTAGCCCACAAGCCAATCACAACCAGAGCGGCCACTCTATTTGAATCTTCTTTGTTAGAGTTACGAGGAAGATTCTTTGAGAATCTTTGAGAAAGGTGGTGTTCTGTTGCTAAATAAGCAAATACATAATTTTAGCCATTTTGAAATCATGGTTAAGGTGAAAGTGAATGAGAATGTGAGCTAGGGAAACAGCAGCTCGAGGGAAAATGAGAGGATGGATTACAGCAGCATCAGAGGGACAAAGGCAGCCCCTGGTGAGCAGCATAGAGGGGCCAGTGAGAGAAGGCAAAGGTGACTGAATGAGGGTGACACCCTTAGCTGGGACTAACAGAGCAGACACCAAGGCTGACTGCAGGAAAGTGTCAAGACTAGGTGCAAGAGGGAGGACAGGGTGGATATCCAGAAGTTGGAGAAGTGCACACATGTGTCATGTCACCACGGGAGCTTGGGATCAGAGGAAGAGTGGGAATAAGGAAAAATCTTAGAGGAATGGGTCACTGGAGAGAACGGAGAGAGTGAAGGAAGGAAGAGAGACAGCTGGACAAAAAGGGTTCTGAAGATGCAGGAGAGGGGTCAGTACCATAAAGGGCACTGACCCAGTTTCTTTTTGCTTTTGCAGCTTCTGGTAAACCACTATCATACTGCAGATTCAGCCCTGAATCAGGGCTCTGGCATTCCATCCTCATGTCATACAACCGTCTGGGGTAGAAAGGTGAGAGGCACCATCCCACTTTGCAGATAGGAACAGAATACAGAGTTGCTTGGCTTCTCTCCAGGGCAAGGTGACCGTCCTCAAAGTGTGAGGTCATGAAAGGAAGTCACCAAGCAGCCAGATTGTAACAAGGACTTACAGGTGGCTTTTGCTAAAAAGCATTGTGTCTTTACTTGGTGCCCGATGGATAGTTACCTGAAGGCAGGATAAAGCTTGGTATCTGTCTTCACTTTGCATCAGTCTCCGTTGTCATAAAACTTTGGGGTCAGATTCTTGCTCAACTCTGCACATAGGGATGTTAATCATTTAAGGAGAGTCTAAAACCTGGTGCTACAAGGCAGACGAACCCTAAATTTTCCTAACTTATCTCATCCGCCTTGAAGACTGAAGGCAGAAAGATAAGAGTAACTAAGGTATTTTCAAGATTTTCAGGGACATTCAACTGACTGGTTTTTTTGGTGGTTTTTTTTTTTTTTTCTTTCAGTACTGGAGGTTGAAGTCAGGGCAGACATTTGCTAGGCAGGGACTCTTCCCTCAGTCATTTTTTGCTTTAACTTTCAGATAGGGTCTCACAGACCATTTTGTGATGAGATCACCCCCTTAATGGAAGAAATTACCTCACAATGGGAACTTAACTCCCCACTTCCTGTCCTCCCCACATACACACACAAGGCAGAGCTACCATCTCATTGAAACCAATTTGCCTTCTCAAGCTGTGACATTGAAGAGGACACCTCTGGAGCCATTTCACAGAACCAGTCTGAGATAATGATGAACCAGACCACCGTTTGACCAAAACTGATTAACTATGCATGCTTCCGGGTCTTTCCCTACACAAACTGGGGGCTCATGTCAGAACCCCCCCAAAACGAGCAAAAATGCTTAATCTCCTCCAGCTTCCCAGTATAGTCATATTGATTAAATTCTTTTCCTGCTCTTCTGCCATTACTTTTCCATTTGATTTCTTGAGCAAGTGGTGGACCTAATTTGCTATAATCCCCCTTTGCTCCCGAATTAGGACTCTGGCCTAGGACTGTAGTAACAGCTTGTCCTAGGAATCAACAACATTCAAATGCTGTGACTGGGTACAACCACAAATGGAGCAAATGGTAACAACTGTACGTGGTATGCTCCAGGTACAAACCAGGAAAAGTCCTGGGGGTTTCTCCCAA